AATAATGATAGAATACTTTCTTGCAGTGGTGAGTCACAAGCAGTAGAGAGAAAGCTATTATCCAAAAATTGTAGAGAGAGGCCAAAGAAACTTTTTAGAGTGAAATTAGTGAAAGGTGAGAAAATGAAAGAGGGACTGGGGCGGGAGGGGGTGCTAGGGGGATAACCCAACAAGTCCCGTACCTACAATATGCGGGATTGCCACGTCCGTTAACATGTCCGGTCTGTTGCAGGTATGGGAGTTCCACGTCAACATTCCTGTCCATAGGCGATGCGGGATTGACTGCCCTAGAAAAGGATTCCCGTCTATTGTGCATGCGGGACTACTCTCGTCTATGACAGATACGAGTTTGGCTGCATTACAATGAGATAACATCTCAAATTTGCTTTGACTTGACATAATTTTTGGCAAATGTGATTAGTATTGTGCTTTTGGCAGAATAAATATCTTTCATTCACAGATAAAAAATAAGGGGTTTGATTTTCTCATGTTGCATGAGAATTGAATTCTCATATTGTGACTTAACTAGTGGTGGGTCATACATTTATTAAAAAGAGAAAAAGAAAAGAAAAATTTTGCACACAAATCGAAGGGTCACAACATGAGAATTGAATTCTCGTGCAACATGAGAAAATATTTTTTCAAAAAATAAATATTACCGAGGTAAATTCCACCCTGTCTTGGGAAGTAAATTTTCTCTATTCCTAACAGGAGTGTAACTTTCTTCACCGTTCTTTCTTCTTGTTGGAAATTTTGTCTCTATGTTACTTTCATAGCTTCTGATTCAAGAGACCTTTAGGAGGCGTTTGGTAGCCGGTATTTTTCAGTATTCTCGTGAAATTGAATTTTTTTTAAATTTTTAATTTTTGGATATTATCGTAAATTGAATGTTTTCATCATATTTCTGAAAATCAAGATTCTCAGATAAATTTTTTTTTCTCCTCTACCAATTAATCTTTTTCTATTTTACCCAACAAAGTTTTTACCCAAGATATGGAATCTTGGTTTATCATTCTCTTATTATCATCGTAGATTCGCATTTTGGACAAGGTTCCTGCCGTATATCAAGTTTGGGATCAATTTTCAGTTAGAGATAAAAATTTCAACTAACATGAAAAAATAAATTACCCCGGAATTTTCTTCCAAACAATGTTTCTCCTTGATTTTTCTTTTAATTTGTAATTACTAAGCTGCTACCAAGCTATCCATAATGGTTGGGTTGGTATCTTTAAATTATGTATGTAATACATTAATTGATTAAGTTACATAAATAATTAATCGGAAAAGTATTTTTATAGTTGTCGCTGAAGTTTTTATCTGCTACACATAATGTACTCCCCTAAATACTTGGCAAATTTTTTAAACGAATTCTAATACATGGGACCCACCGCTTTTCTTTGTAAGAGCGACACACAATTTTTTTTTTCAACAACTGTATAAAAGTTAAACCCATAATTAATTATATATTTGTTGAGGTTATTCACAAGTATATAGGTTGTATGAAAAGTAAAATAGTGAATATAAATATTGTTTAAGGAGAATAATAGATTAACAAACCATCAATTATCAATCAATATTTATCTTAACAACAAAAATAGGTAGCAGAAGTTGTGTCAAAACTTCATAACTAAAAACGGAATAAAAATGTGTTCATATTAAAAAGATAATAAGTAGAGGTGCAGCCCAATTATGCATATTGGTTCATTGCTATATAAATTGACTTAAAGAAACAAGTATGAGGGACTGGGGGGGGTAATGGCGTATAGAAAGCTAAGTAAGCTAGTACAGAGTGCAGCAAAGTTTAATAGTTAGAGAGTGTAAAGAGTCTTTTGCAATGGTGCTAGGCGTTCCTTATGTAGGGAAAGAGGGAGTACTTTGGAGTGTTTGATATGGAGAAGGTTAATTTGCATGTGTGAGGGGGTGTGCTGGACATGGATAAAGGGCAGTTATTTCACATAATTAACAAAATCTTTTGTAGTAATAATATTTTATCCTATAATTAAAAGTGAATGATGGACTCAATATGGAAATTAATTCAGTCTGGATTAAAACATGTGAAATTTCTCTAACTTAAACACTCATTACTTGGTTTTATTAGCAAGAACTCTAAATTTAAAATGGATCATGTGTTATTTTATATGAGATAAATCAGATAATAATAATTATTCGTAACCAAATCAATACTAATTAAAAATAAGAGATGAAAGAGAAAAAGTGTCAACATAAAGAATATTAAAAAATAACCATTTATTTAGTTATGAATGATTGTGATCATCTTCCATGGCCAAATCATGTTAAATAACATATCTGAGTATCTAATAGATATATTATATTTTGCCTGAATCATTAAGTTTTAGTGATCTTTATACATGCATTAAAATTATATTTGTAAATACACTTTAAGACTAATATATATATATATATATATATATATATATATATATATATATTTTGGTAAGCAAATATATTTCTAATCTTATTGGTAAAATAACAAACTAAAAAAAATTTAGATATACTTGAACATGCATTTTCCATATTTATGCTCTAAAATCCAAATTCATAAGCCTAGATCAAATGATATTTTTTTTTTTTAAGAATTACTGCCACACATTCAAATGAATTGAAAATAGAAATGAATAAAAACAAAGCCTCAAATCATTGATATAAAGTCAAAACAAACTATCACACGCTCTAATAGTTATATGGGGATCCCATGAATCCCTTAAACGAGTATAGCTATCCATAATTATATCAAATTCATCCATTTTTTAGCAAGACAAAGAGATAAATTAAGAGGATATCAGAAATTCTTATAGGCTTCTCATAAACGCGCAAAATCTCCTAAAAATTGACCCTCTTTGTGTGGGATGGCTCTAAAAAAAGGTTGTACCTCCAAGTAATCCATTATCTTTCTGTGTCTCTATAGACATATCTCATAAGAGCCTCCATTCTCAAAAAAGTAATTTTTATTTCTTTCTTATTTTAGAAGTACATTTTATAAAAGTTAAAGCTATTTATATTTTTATAAAAATATTTAATTTTTGAAAAAAATATTTGACTTTTGACTTCTGCTTCTTGTAGAAGTTAAAATTTTAGCTTTTAAAAAAAGTAAATTTTTGACTTTTTTTTGTGACTTCTGCTTTTTGTAAAAGCAGACATTCAAACAAATTAAAAACGAGAAGTGATTTTTTTTTAAAAAAATAGCTTTTGAAAAAAAAATCCATTCAAATGGACCTAAATCAGAGCAGAGTCCCAATTAAATAAATTACAATTGGATAAAATGGGCCAACTTTCTTTTCTGATCTGCAGCACCTTACGCTGCGTTCAACATACAAAATTTAAAATATCTGGTATTCCCGACGTGAAAATTAATTGTTACACAGATTTTGATTTAAGAATAAATATAATGCAAACATAATGATAATTAAAATTCATTTTTCTTCTACGCATACGTGGATAGCTCGTGTACGGCCGTGGGAACTGGGAAATCTCCAATTTCAAATCCTCCTAATATTTTATAATTTCCAATGATTATGTTATTATTTTTTTCTTTTTTATGACTGATGTTATTTTTATTACGCCATTTATATACTTTTTAATAATAAAAAAGAAATTAAGTAAAAAATTATTTCAATGCAAAAACTTAAGTGGATAAGAGAAACATCAATTAATAGTTTTTATATTTCTCTACCACATCCTCTCGTATAAGAGTATCCTCTCGTATAAGAGTCAATTTGACTTATAGGATGAATGATGAATAGATCTAGTTGTATAAAGAAATTTTATAATATTTAATTATTTTAATTAATTCAACCCAAAATCTTAAATTTGTGACGAACCTTCGATGATTTTATATTATATCTCATTAATACTCTTATCTTTTTGATTTTTTTTTGTCTCTAAACTAAAAATGTGTGAAGAATAACAAAATATTTCTGGTGTATAAATAACATTATCTGTTTTCTATTATGTAGGGCCATATCATAGTATACTCTAAAGTCACCTTTTTTTTTTTTGGTAGACAAGTGACCTCTTTTTAAAAAGAAAAAAGTACCTATCGTGTGTTGCATCATGCACTAAAGTATAATATATAATAAGAAAAACGCTTCAACATAATTCAAAGAGGGGAAAAAAAGCCTCATTTTGTACAAGAAAATAAAGAAATTTGTAAAAAATAAAATAAAAGTAATCTCTCAATTTAATGATTTAAAAAATCTTATAAATCTACATAAATTTAAAGAGAAATCTAATGATAAAATAAATAAAACAAGTTTATTTTACATTTAACACTGCTTATATAATAATCACACAATTTAACCCCAAGTAAGCTCAAACTCATTTACACGTCTGTTTAAACAAAAGAAAAAGGTTAAGAACAGAGAGTACTTTATAGTTTATAGAGGAGGTTTTCGTTGGTGTTAGAGTAACTATGAATATAATGAAAACAAAAACATAACATAAAAGTCAAATCCCAGAATAATAGAAAGCATCATGCTTCACACACTTTTATATATATATATATATATATATATATATATATATATATATATATAATAATTTATATTATGTTATTATACTTGAATTCATTTTATATTTTTATATGTTTATAATGAGAATTTAATATTCTTATATCATAAGAGATAAAATTAATTTTATTCATATAAAATATAATTTTATCTGTTATAAAAAAATATATATATATATATATATATATATAATTTTATCTAATGTAATAAAAAAAAACATATTAAGCCCTCGTACTGTGTTATTTAGCATTTTTCTTATCCAAATTATCTTATGTGGAAGTGCATTGGAGGATGAGCCGAATCTCGTTTTTCACATGCTAAAATTTTAGTAGCTCAAGAAAATGATCCTCCCTCCTTACATGTTTTCTTTGGCCTTATAAATAGGCACTACTCTTCAGTGTGTTCCTCACAAGCCATTGGCTTTTCTCTCATTCGTCAAAACAGTATAACGTTGTTGTTGTAGAAATAGCAAAGATGTTTTCAGGGGTGACAGGTCTCGTTAACAGGGGTCACAAACTCAAGGGAACTGTTGTGTTGATGCAAAAGAATGTGTTGGACATTAACGCCCTTACATCAGCTCAAAGTGCCACCGGAATCATCGGCGGTGCCATCGGTATTGTCGGCGGTGTCATTGGCAACACCGTCGATACCCTCACTTCCTTCTTAGGCCGATCCGTCGCTCTCAAGTTGATTAGTGCTACCGCTGCTGATGGTAACTTCTTTCTCTCCCTGCTCACTAACTCAATACTTATCCACACATTATACTATAAATTTATAATGATGTTATATATATAATTGAAGGGAAAAATATCTGTTAATTTAAAGGATGTAAAGCTGTGTCATTTTATTTGAGAGAAAGAGATAAATAAAAGAGAAGAAATAGTGGACAAAAAATATAAAGGTGTGGGTCTCATCTCATCTTTTGGTGAGAGTCAAATGATATAAGTTGTGTCATTTAAAAGGAAAAATACTTTTTCTACGTTATAACTAACAAAAATAACAAAGGTGCTTTTATTTTCTTTAACAAAAGAACAGAGACATATTTTATTTAACCAAAACTTACCGTTACTTATGTTTAATGTCTTTCCCATATTAAAATGAAATTTAATTTAGCTGTAGAAAACTTGATTTTGAAGAGCTATGTCAATAGTTTTGATAACTTATATTCACTGATAAGGAATTATTTCAGTTTAATTAGTGATTTAAATTTTTTGATAGGAAGTTGCAATTACTCAAATTGAATGAATCAGAATTTGAAGTGTGAAATATTTTGTAGGAAGTGGAAAAGGGAAAGTTGGGAAGCAAACCTTTTTGGAAGGTCTTATTACCTCGTTACCAACCTTGGGAGCAGGCCAATCTGCATTTGATATTCGTTTCGAATGGGACACTGACATGGGTATTCCAGGAGCATTTTATATTGACAATTTTATGCAAGGTGAATTCTTCCTTGTGAGTTTGACTCTTGAAGATGTTCCAAACCAAGGAACCATCCACTTTGTTTGCAACTCATGGGTTTATAACTCTAAAAAGTACCAATCTGACCGCATTTTCTTTGCCAACAAGGTAAACAAACCATTCACCTAGCAACTAGTCTGTTGAAAATTTAAAATTCTATTTACCAAAACTTCACATCATCACATTAATGACAAAAGTTATTAAATGTAACCTTTTTATGTAGACATATCTTCCAAAAGATATACCAGCTCCACTGGTCAAGTATGTTGAAGATGAATTAAAGACTTTAAGAGGAGATGGAACAGGAGAGCGCAAAGAACATGAAAGGATCTATGATTATGATGTCTACAATGATTTGGGTGATCCAGACAAGAATCAAAAATTGGCTCGTCCAGTTCTTGGTGCTAACAGCAGCTTTCCTTACCCTAGAAGGGGAAGAACGGGTAGAAAACCATCTAAGAAAGGTAAGGCTTATTTTCTACCTAAGACTCAAGTCTGTTTTCAGTTCTTTTTGCTGTGATATTTATTTTATGATATTTCATTACAAATTATATGGTATGTTGTTAAAATGTTTTATAACTTAATAGGCAAAGTTTTGGTCATTGGTGTTAAACATTTAGTGAGTTGCTTCATGGTAGCTTGGTTTCTATAAAATTAAAGTAAGGTTTACCATAGCATATACTATATGTCTTTTGTTGATCTTGATTGTAAAATTATTGTTAATTGTTATTAATATATATTTTGCTATTTTATCTTAACAGATCCTAAAAGTGAGAGTCGCAGCGACACTGTTTACCTTCCAAGAGATGAATCATTTGGTCACTTGAAGTCATCAGATTTTCTTGTTTATATACTTAAATCTGCATCTCAGAATGTTATTCCTCAATTACAATCTGCACTTACATTACAATTCAATCAGCCTGAGTTTAATAGCTTTGATGATGTGCGTGGACTCTACGAAGGTGGAATTAAGCTTCCTACTAATGTACTTAGCCAGATTAGCCCAATACCATTGTTCAAGGAACTCTTCCGAACTGATGGCGAACAGACCCTTAAGTTTCCACTACCTAAAGTGGTTCAAGGTATGTTATAAACATACTCCTAGAAATATGTACATTCAAAAACTTGGAAAGCTAATTGACCTTTTGAAATATCCTTATTTGGAGCAGTGGAAAAATCTGCATGGATGACTGATGAGGAATTTGCAAGAGAGACCATTGCTGGTGTAAATCCACACATTATTACAAGACTTCAGGTAAAAATAGTTTATTGTTCAGCAAGTACAGAAAATTGAAAACATGTTATCCACTTTTCATGTTAAATTTGCAATTGATAACATAATTGCGTGCTTTATTTAATGCAGGAATTCCCACCACAGAGCAAGCTAGATAAACAACTCTATGGTGATAATACTAGTACAATAACCAGAGAACACTTGGAGCCAAACTTGGGCGGGCTCACTGTTGAACAGGTAATGACACAAACATTTTTTTATTGGTTATGCAGTAAGATTACTTCGAACAAATTCTACTATTTTGTTTTGATATGATTCAGATGAACTATTATAACTAAATTATATTTGGTTGAACAGGCTATCCAAAGTAACAAATTGTACATATTGGATCACCATGAAATACTCTTTCCATATTTGAGGAAAATAAACGCAACAGACACGAAGGCATATGCTACTAGAACCATCCTTTTCTTGCAGAATAATGGAACTTTAAAGCCATTGGCCATTGAGCTAAGTAGGCCACATCCTCAGGGTGATAATTTTGGTCCTGTTAGTAATGTTTATCTGCCTGCTGACCAAGGTGTTGAAGCTTCTATTTGGCTACTTGCCAAGGCTTATGTAGTTGTGAATGACTCTTGCTATCACCAACTTGTCAGCCATTGGTACAAATTTTGTTAATGAAATTTACGCAGTCGGTAGAACTTAGTTTATTTATCTAAGAATTATTCATTCATATCTTGACAATTATGGCAGGTTAAACACTCATGCAGTTGTTGAGCCATTCATCATAGCAACAAACAGGCATCTTAGTGTGGTTCACCCTATTCATAAACTTTTGCTTCCACACTATCGTGACACAATGAACATCAATGCACTTGCAAGGAATGTCCTGGTCAATGCTGAGGGTATTATTGAATCAACATTCTTGTGGGGTAATTATTCTTTGGAAATGTCTGCTATTTCGTACAAGGATTGGGTTTTCACTGAGCAAGGACTGCCTGCTGATCTTATCAAGAGGTAATCCTTAGAAGTTATAAAACCATGCCCCTAATATGATTTAGATTATAGGTCTATTCCTTACATAAGATTGAAAATATTGATCTTATTACTTGCTTTTTATCCAGAGGAGTTGCTGTTGAGGATTCAGCTTCCCCACATGGCATTCGTCTTCTGATAGAGGACTATCCTTATGCTGCTGATGGACTAGAGATATGGGATGCTATCAAGTCATGGGTTCAAGAATATGTTGCTTTCTACTACAACTCCGATGCCGCTGTTGCACAAGATTCTGAACTCCAAGCTTTTTGGAAAGAGCTTGTAGAAGTTGGTCATGGTGACAAGAAAAATGAGCCATGGTGGCCTAAGTTGCAAACTCGTGGAGAGTTGGTTGAATCTTGCACCATCCTCATATGGACTGCTTCAGCACTTCATGCAGCTGTTAATTTTGGGCAATACCCTTATGGAGGTTATATCCTTAACCGACCAACTCTTAGCAGGAGATTCATGCCTGAGAAAGGATCTGCTGAGTATGAAGAGCTTGCAAAGAACCCTCAGAAGGTGTATTTGAAGACAATTACAGGAAAGAATGACACCCTTACTGATCTTACAATCATTGAGGTCTTGTCGAGGCACGCTTCTGATGAGTTATATCTTGGTCAGAGAGATGGTGGTGATGTTTGGACTTCTGATACACAGCCATTAGAGGCCTTCAAGAGGTTTGGAAAGAAGTTGGCTGATATTGAGCAAAAGCTCATTCAAAGGAACAACGATGAGACACTAAGGAACCGATATGGGCCTGTGAAGATGCCTTATACTCTGCTTTATCCTTCCAGTGAGGAAGGATTGACTTTCAGAGGCATTCCTAATAGTATCTCCATCTAAAGAGGTTTATGGTTGTGTCGAGGCTTTCAATAAAAGATAGAAGGAATCTAATTCCTTCATTCCCCCATGTATGGTTCTCATGTATGTTATGGATGCTTTGATGTTATGTATCAATAAGAACTACTATGTTTGCACCTTGTATTATGCTGGACTTGTAATTTCTAATGCAACTTTCATATTTGGAAATTATAAATCAAAAGTACCAAAGCTTGTACAAAGCTAGCACTGCGAAAATTGTAATATGGGATTTAGAAAAGATAAATGTTTTTGAAGTCGTGAATGAACCATCATGATTTTATTTCCAACATCAAATGTTTTGCCAAAGCCACCAAAAAATACATTAATATTCAAATTATGATAGTGCTCAAGTTGGTCTTGGCAAGAACGTGATCATTCATGTTACTCATTATTGCAATGAAAGAACCATGGTCTTTCAGAATCCAGATTACTAGTGTATTCTCTTTCTATATTTTGGAGCACAAGCACCCGTATGTACAGAAACTAGACAGTGTATCTACGATGGTTTTGAATTGGGAAATAAGTATCATAATTCCTGTGACTGATATAATAAATTGCATCATTCTCAGAAGCATCTTTTTCGGTAAAAATAAGATGTGGTTGAGAGTCTTGGCAATGACAATATCCAATTAATCAAATATTTTATGCACAAAAAGAGCTGTTCAATCCCCAATTACATACTTTCTAGGTGTTAAAAGTTACAAGTTCAACCTCACAGTCAGTGGTATTTTCCTTTTGTAAATCTACAAGAGGGTAAGGTTTACTTGGGCATCCTACTATTGTGTTGGTCTCAAGTAGCAACCAGAAGAGGAGATCAAGAACATGGATATAGCCCCATATGAATAGATCACAGCATAGGAGATTGTCTTCCTCACCCATTTTGATTCAAGAATAAACACTATTTAGCATCACGTTCAATGAAACATTTCTCTGGCTCCTATGCAAATATCAGATGCTCACAAGTGTTGAAAACAGATGACCACGTTATCCTTTGTTATTGTGAACAACTAATGTGGGACTCCTAACAGGTATATAGAAGAAAGCCAAAAATTGCATTGTGACGCCATTGGCTACCTTATTTTGTTTAATGGATCAAATCATTGAAACTCATACTGGCATACACCCTTTTGCAAATTTTTTTCATTTATCCATTTAGTTTGGTTGGACTTTTTAATCTTAACCAAAACACTCTTTTTACTACTGAGTTGATGTTGGGAAGGAAACAGAAGGTTCTATGTAATAATCAACGGAGATTAGATGGAGTTGGGCGGCCACGTGAGATGATGATGGCTACCAATATACCATGTGAGTAAGAGTTCTCCGTGGCGAATAAAGGTATTATTGGGTGGGTTTTGGGATATTTTTGGACCCCATGTGCTGATCAAGTTATAGATTATATTAGGTTGAATTCAAGGATATTTTTTTCTTCTTCTACTTTGATCTAACCCAATCGGCTAATATGTATCCCACATATTTAAAAAAAAAAATATCTTGCTAAAATAAATGACCAAATACGAAATTAAAAATTCATTAGGCATAATATGTTTGAATTAAAACTAACATTACCACCAATCACATATATTAATTAGTAAAAAATTATTCCAACTTAAGTAGTATTCTCGAGTCACGGTTCCTGAAAATCCAAATGTGTTAAAACTTGATAGGAAAATTTTTGTTTCTTATGTAATTCTACCCACTTACCCAGCTCGAATTTAGGCAAGTCGAATGGATAATATATATATGGAAAAAAATATTTTTACAGTCACTTTAGATAAAGTTATCTATAGCTACTCCAAAAACTACACCATTTTAATTAACAAAGGATGTTTATGTAATTTTAGGTGAATTAATGAAGGGTGTTTCAGTAAAATGTATATGATAAAAAAAAAAGAGGATCCACTTACCACCATTGAAGTATACCACCTTTACAACCAATTTGATCACCGTTGGATTAAAATTAAATCCAATGGCTCAAGATTAATCCTTATAATCATAATTTTTTTACCTTTCATTCTCTTATATCTTCTCTCATCCTCTCGCAACTTTCTCTGTTCTCTGTATTTGATATATTTTTTCTAGGGTTCACAAGATGGGACACATGATTTCGGATCAATTTATCGGAATACTAAAACACATACTGCTAAGATTGCTTTATGAGAATCTTTGTATTTACATGATTTCCGCTACCTTTCAATTGATACTACTTCCCTTATCAGTTTTATTGTATTGATTCTAGATGTCCCAGATGAATATTTCTTCATTTTAATTGATTAAGGCCAACTTCATTGTCGATACTCAGTCAAGGATCCCAATGATGCCACGTGTTGGAAGTGAAGCTAATTGGGCTAAACTCACAAAAACTAGATCAAATAAATCACGTTTCAAAAAACATGATTCAGCGTACGGTTTTTAATTACCCTGAAATCGAAACAATGAATCGAGATAGCTGGTGAAAATGGAAGGACATTACCTTGAACTATGAAAAAAAAGGGATTCAGCGTCTGATGTTAACCCTAAAAAAAATATCAAATACGAAAACCGAGAGAGAGTTATGAGAGGATGAGAGAAGATGTGAGAGAATGAAAGATAAAAAATTAAGATTATAAGAATTAATCTTGAGCCATTGGATTTAATTTTAATCCAGCAGTAATCAAATTGGTTGTAAAGGTGGTATACTTAAGTGGTGGTAGGTGGATCCTCTCTCAATAAAAAATAAACAAAATTATGGAAACACCCTTCATTAATTCACCTAAAATTACAGAAACACCCTTCATTAATCAAAGCGATGTAATTTTTGGAGTAGCTGAAAATAAACTTATATATATATATATATATGAGTTCGTTTTTTCTAAAGTTACTTTAGACAACTTTATCTAATGTTCGCCGAAACGACGTCGTTTTGGGGCGAAAATCATGGTGTATTTGTAATTTTAATTTATTTCAGGGTTATAATAGTCTTTATCATTATAATTTTTTAAATTTTCTACCTCAAAACGACCTCGTTTCGGCGAACATTAAACAAATTTATCTAAAGTAACATTAGATACTTTTTTCCCTATATATATATATATAGGGAAAAACATTTCTCCAGTAACTTTTGAGATAAGTTTATCTTCGGCCACCCTAAAACTATGTCGCTTTGTTTATTTATTTCCTTATATTAATGAGAAAAATGTCTATGCAGTTACTGCAGATAAGTTATCTGCATTTACTCCCAAAATGACGTCGTTTTGGTGTTGAAATATTAAAAATTTGTAATTATAAAGACTATTATAACTCTGAAATAAATTAAAATTACAAAAACACCTTGATTTCTATCCAAAAACGACGTCATTTTGGGCTCAATGCAGATTAATTATCTGCATTAAATGCAGAAAAAACAAACTCACCTCGATTCACCTTTGAATGGTTATGATTATCTTTTTCTCCCTTTTCCTTTATCACCATTGATCTATCTTTGTATAGTTATGATTTAGTAGCCGGAGATAAAATTATCTCAAGCAGCTTGAGAAATGATAAGCCCATATATATACATATGTGTGTGTGGGTGACAAAATTAATATATTGCTTTTTAATAAAAAAATTACGAATTTATTATAGTTTTTAAAAAAATTTCGAGTGTATTGCAGGATGTTACGCTCCAATTGGACGTGACTACTCACGCCCAAAATAGGCGTCATACCTAATAGGAACACGCCCAAAAAAGGTGTCACCGCTAGGGTGGTAAACGAACCAGGGGCCTTTGGCTCGGCTCGTGAAGACTTGAGTTTACATGTTTAAAATTGGTTGTTGGAACCAAGCTTGAACTTGTATTAAAGCTCGTTTAATAAAAAGGCCTCAGGCTCCAATTCAAAAGCTCGGCCTTAAAGCCTGACAGGCTGGCCTAGTATATTAATTTTTATTTTTATTTTATATTTTTTATACTATTTTTAATAACTCTCTCTTTTCTCAATCTATTTCACTCCATTTTATTGGTTAAACAGATTCTTTGAATGATTTTGTTTTATATTATGTTGTTTAGATGTACATTTAATTTATGAATATTTATGGAATTACTAGTGCTGTTAATTGTATATTCTGTTTGGATAAATTTTTGTTGTCTTATTTTTTTAAACAGGACAACAAGCTAAATAAGGCTTTTATTTTTTTGTAAATAAGTCAGGCTACAAGCCGATAATTATATTCATAATAGGTAACATGTTTGGTTAGGCTGACACATTTAAACACATGTTTAGTCTTTTAAGATCAAAGCTCGGCTTGACTCAGTCCCTTGCCACCCTTAGTCGGCACTCACGCCTGAAATAAGCGTCATCCAAACCACACTCAAGCTTCTTACCGCCGTGACCTTGTTAGTGGAGATAACTTTCAAAGTTTGTGATGGTACAAGTATTATTCAGAAATCTTCCCTCTACTTTCTCTTTTCTCTCTCTATCACAGATCTCTTGCTTTTCTTCCTAAAACCCTATTCTGCACAATTGTTCATGTTACATAGGTTTTATATTTTCCCGATGAAGAGCGCACAGTAAGCATTGACGCTTGCATACATTACCTTTTTTTTGCATCGGTTTTATTGTATTTATGGAGCTTTTTAAAGACGCTTGATTAGAGATAATTTGAAGAGATATCATATATGTAAAGCATTTCAAGCGTCACTTCTTCAAATATTTATCAATTCTTTTATCTCAAAATTCATTATTTGATGGACTGGTTTTGTGTAAGCTGTAATGATTTCATTAGGCATACATGAGCAGATGGATTAAAATTGATTTTCTTTTCAATCGTTGATTAATTTTCTTTTTAAATAATATATTAAGAGTTTTTTCTTTTCACTGTTTTCCATTAAGTCACAAATGAAATATATATGTCACAAAACCTTATTTGTCTATTATTAATTTTTCAATCGTTGATTAATTTACTTTTAAAATTGATTTTGCTCTTGAGAATATTAATTTTATCAAAACAGGTCAAAAATCTATTACAAATACTAATTACTTTAAAATTAATTTTAAAAGTAAATCAATTTTATTTATGAAAGAAATATCAGGGGCTAATTATGATATTGATTTTGAGGTGAAAAATCTAATCCATCAAAATCTTATTAAAGAATG